CCACAAGGTCTCCCATTCATAATTACAGAGCTAAAATTCCTCTCATTTTTGACCTCATAAGCCTGCTTTGGCAAATACAGCAATTTCTCATGGGGATTATGTGTCTTTCAGCTTCTTTGATGTGACCACACAGTCCAAGAGCCACAGCCTGAGGATATCAGATACAGAAATATCCTGATTCTATGAAAAGAGGAAGTGGGAAGCATTCATTATACCTTTGCAGTCTTTAGTTTTGGCTCTTAAAAATAAATCAACAACAAACACAGGAATGGAAAATGCAGAATAATAAACACACACTTTAAAAATTTTCTTTATATTCATTTCCAAGTTTAATCTTCAATAATTTGGAGATAAAATGAGAGTACAAAAATGCTCCCTTTATTCTACTTTGAATTTAGATAGATTATTCATTATTTACAAATAAAACTAAGCCTGCATTTTCAAACACCATTTCTGTGCACAAATTATATAGCTCATTCTTTTCATAAGGCATGTAAAACAGATTTCAGTTCAAACATGAAAACATTTTATACGTTGAGTGTCAGAATTAAAAACACAACTAAAAGGTCCACGAAACCCCATGCCTGAATTGCGGAATAGAAGTAAACACTAAAGACATTACAGTGTACACACACAGAGACATGCGCGTTTGAATATGTATGTATAGGAACATATTAGGAAGATCAAAAATACCTGTTTTCTGTTTTGTATATGATCTTAGTAATTTAGCTAACAAGAGTGTATGTTTAACCCAGTACTCATATATTGCTTACACAACAATTATACTTTCTAATTATTTCAGTAAAAGATCATTTCTGTCACGCAGTAAAATTGTGTGTCTTCCAGCCAAGGCCGAGCCAATAAGCAGTGGCGGTAGCACCTCTGGGATAACCCATTTAAAAAGGGAAAAAAATTGGTGTGAAACTACAGCTGGAGAGAGGAGTGAAAATATGTCAGAGAAACAGCTCTGCAGACACCAAGGTCAGTGAAGAAGGATTGGGAGGAGGTGCTCCAGGCACCAAAGCAGAGATTCCTCTGCAGCCTGTTGTGAAGACCATGATGAGGCAGGCTGTCCCCTGCAGCTCATGGAGGTTAACGGTGGAGCAGGCAGATACTCACAGAGAAGGCTGTGACCCCATGGGAACCCTGTGCTGGAGCAAGCTCCTGGCAGGACCTGTGGACCCATGGAGAGAGGAGTCCACACTGGAGCAGGTTTGCTGGCAGGACTTGTGATTCCATGCGGGACCCATGCCAGAACAGTCTGTTCCTGAAGCACTGCACTCCACAGAAGGGACCCACACTGGAGCAAAGGAAGAGTATGAAGAGACCCCCCTGAGGGGGAAAGAGTGG